AACGGCTGTTAACTTCTGTTTGGCAGCTGCAGACTTGAGCGTCTGGAGACACACGTGGCTCACCTGGAATGACCCGCACGCGGCTATCTCGTTGAGCACTCCTGCGTTCTCTAACCCGGCCTGAAAGTCTTCAATCCTGTATGGTCTCGCTCCGATATCGGCATGTAGGAAAACGGAATTCAGTAGGTACTTGCCTGTCGGTATCGGGGGCATGACAGTCCGATAATCCTCGTTGCATCGTTCGTCCTTGTCGCCACGACTATCAGCAGCCGTTGATGCCGCTCCGACGGAGCTCATAGTGACACGTCCGTTCGCTTCGAAAGCCAAACGACGGATCCCCCGGACCGGGATTTCGGTTCATGGATCCAACCTCCTCTACATAATTGGGCGAAGCGCACTTATGGGAATCGCGCTTTTCTGCACTACACGCCGTCAAAGCGTGAGGGGCCCTTTTGGAGTTCTTGCTTGTCCGCTTTGCGCAATATTGTAAAATAAAGCTCACTTATACGTTTCTTGCGACCCTCAGTGCACAAATTGTAGGGTAAATGAAACTGTTTCTCGCTTGTGTAATCATGCCGCGAGCAAGGCCTAGCTGGCATCACGCGTGTCTGACATGCGAAGGTATGAATTTCGAACTTCATCAGCCTAGTTTATTTCCTCGTTTGCGGCTCTTCTAGAACCTTCTAGTTACCCCTTGTGGCGCATCGCTTGTTCCTACGCAGAATGTAATAGACTACGTGGTCTGTATAAACGAAGCTGCCGCTGGCAACATCCAGTCAGCCGTCCTTCCGTCACTGACGCAGCATGCGCGGTACCCTCTTGGTGTCACTTCAAGGCACAAGTTAGCTTCATTAAACGTTTGTTCTCCGTTTTACAGCCATCTACTATTTTCATTTGTGACAATATCGTGGGTTGAGACAGGCGTAGTGTTTTCTCGCTTTTCCGTAGTGCCCGGTTTCATAGGGTGAAGCGCGCTTACTAGCTTTTGTTTTATTTTTCCGCAGTGGAGGATGCCGTACGTTGAAGTATAATATGGGCTTCTTGTTTTTATGCAACGCACAATATTCTTTACTGAAGCGGACTGATAAAAAGGGCTTCTCCCTTTTTATCAGAGCAATATATTGTAGGGTGGAGCGCACTTAGGGGTTTCATTCTTTTCTGCAGTGCACAAAATTGTAGAATGAAGTGCACTTATCTGTTTGTTTTTGTTTATTGGAAACAATGCGCAGCATGCAAATGCCCTGTCAATATTCACACAAACCACCAAAAAACAACTCGTGGGCTAACTAAAAGTTCTTCGTACTTTTAAACGATCCTAGCAAGTGTGCCCTGTCAGGTGTTGTGTCAGGTGTCCTGCAGTACACAGACTGGACCTGTGTTACCACATCAATAAAATGAATACGCGCCTGTTTAACGTGCAGGTCTGCGTGGCGCAGTTCCATCCGGGTTTTCTATAAGCGAAACAGACCCAGGACTGTAAATAGATCGCAAGGTACCGTGTTCCCTTCATCGACTGGAAGAAAATAAAGTGTTTCGTGAATCATAACCAAGTCCTATTTCAACGTTAATATGTACCAAAAAAAAGACCACGTCCCAACAATAAACGAAAATGTGCAATATTGTTTCTGGAGTCTTGCACAGGAGACAATCAATCGACCAAGGAACAAATAAGCCATTTTCCTCTAGCCATGGTTTGACAGGCAACGTACTACTATCAATCAATCAATCAATCAATCAGAGTTTTATTGGGTTTAAAAAAAGTTTAAAATTATTGTTTAAAGAAAAAATGACTTGACAACGTACGGGACAGCCATTTTTAAACTCGACACAACACATCTTGTCCTGGACAAAGGCTGTAAGCTGAGCGATACAAGAGCGTGGGAAAACTAATTTCAACTAAATCACGTGACAGCTTCTTTTTTTTTTTGACGTTGTTGAGGTATCCTAGAGAAAATCGCGATTGTAAAAATGAGACAGCATCCTTCACTTCTTTCGAAAACTCGACCAGACTCAGGCGTTTACCTCAATCACTGGTATCTAACATGGCGGGCAGGGAGTTAGCAAGTTTTATCTGATAAACAGCGCGCACAAACGGGTGGTTCTGAACACGCAGAAAACAGAAACGTGAAACTAGTTGCCTAATGAACAACTGGATGAGTCCAAGTCCCCCTGACTTGG